TGCTCAGGCCCAGCTTTTGGAGTGGGTGGGTTGCTCTAGGTTCCATCCCCCCACCCTTCCATCCTGCCTTGCTTGGAAGGAAACCCTCCCTCGAATTGAAGCCCTGGGAAATGGAGTTTTAGCCAAGATCCGCTCGGCCTTGTCTTGGGAAGCCGGGGTCTCCTTTCCTCCTCCCCTGCCTTGGGTCCAAGGAGGTGGGCATCCCCGCTGCAGGGCAGGGCAGGGTTAGTCTGCATCCTTTCCCTCCCCGAGACGAAACCCCCTGCCTCCTATTTCTTTTGCCCCCTCCTGTGTCTACCTGGGATTTCGTATCCAGGGCCCTGGGTCCCCCCAGGAGAGTTTTCCTGGGCAGTTCAGGATGGGAGCTGGGCTGTCCTGGTCCTCCATGTCCACTGTCCTCTCCACTGCTCCTGCCCCCTCCCCCTGAGGCCTTTATCTGGTGAACACTTCTCCTCCTCCTCCGGCTCCCCGTCAGCCAGGAGCAGGAAAAGGGTCCTTCCTTCCTCCCGCAGGTGGGTCTCTTTGCAGGGGGGGAGGGGTCTCTCCCTGGCACCGACCCCCAAGCCCAGGCTCCAGGAATGGAGAAGGGCCCTCCCCCCCCTCCAGTCCCCTCCATGGCTGCTGCTCCCATGCGCTGGCTCCTCTCCCAGGGCTCTTCTGTCCTCTCTCTCACTGTTCGCGTTTTATTTTTTGTCTTCAGGAACAAAAAATAAATAAAGTGAAGCCAAAAAGAAGCTTTCAGTCCCTCGCTCGTCCTTCGGCACTGCCAGCCCTCCAGACTGGCACGGGTGGGGTGGGGTGGGGGTGGTACGAAGGAGGAAGGCTTGGCCCCAAAGAGACGGGCAGGGGGTTGCGCGGGGCAGAAGTGACTGTCTGGTTCGATGTCGGGGTCGCCGCCGGTTGTGGGGTGCAAGCAGAGGAGGAGGGAGACCAGAGTGGGCAGCCCTGGGCCTCTGGACCCGTGTGCCTGGGCTTGGCATGCTCAGTGCCCCTGGAGGTTTCTCCAACTGGGAGGGACTGGGCATCTCTTGTGCTGGTGGAAGAAAAGGAGGGTGAAGCTGAAGCTCGTGGGCTCTTTTGGACAACGGATTATGACAAAGACTTGTCATCTCAATCTCCAGGGAGATTCTCCGACCTCAGTGGGCCCCAGGGGTGCTCTTTGCAAGAGGCAACTGGACTTTCTGGATTTTTCTTTGAAGATGTTTCTCTTCTCATCCAAGAAGCTTCTTCAGCTCTGACTGGATGGAGGGGAAGGGAAGGATTGAAACCCCTTGCAGACAGCTGGTCCTTTGCATCCTTTGAGAGGGTCCTTGAGGCCACTTGGAGGTTTTATCTCTGTCCTCAGGGTCACCGGAGTGGTGCAAATGGTTCCTATTAGTCTGCAATTTCCCCCCCTCTGGAAATCCATTCCTCCTCCCACAACCATTCCAAGGGTCTTCATCCCAAATTGCATAGCTAAACATCTGTAGAGATTCTCCGTCCTCCAGGTCCTGGTAGTCCCAAAGGGGCTTTTTTCAGGAGGCAACTGGACTTTCTGGATTTTTCTTTGAAGATGTTTCTCTTCTCATCCAAGAAGCTTCTTCAGCTCTGACTGGATGGTGGGGAAGGGAAGGATTTATGCTCCTTCCAGACAGCTGGACATTTGCGTCCTTTTATCAGGTTGTTAAGGTCACCTGGGGGTTTATCTCTGTCCTCAGGGTCCCCTGAGTGGGGCAAATGGGTTTGGAGCCTTCTTGGAACTGCCGGAAGGACTGAGTTGTAGACTGGAGACGGATGAGCTTGTATCCCTCCCCCTCTATTGAGAGGGGGCTGTTCAGATTTGACATAGATGGCCTCTGGGACCCCTCTTTCAAGCCAGCGGTCCTCTCTGTCCGAAACATGGGCTTTGTAGTCTTCGAAAGAGGGGCCTTTGGCTTTGAAATGCAGGTGGAAGTGCCGAGTTTGTTCTGCTATGTTGTGCCATGCGTTTGTGAAGGGGTGGTTTTGTTTCCCCAATGTACAGAGATGCACATGGCTCACTGCGCTGTGCAACGTATGCCACGTTGCTCGGTTTGTGTCTGGGTGTTTTATCCTTGGGGTGGAGAAGCTCCTGCCTTGGCCTGTTCTTGGGTTTGAAGTGTGTATGTTGTATGTTGTGTTGGCTGAAGAT